CAACTGCCTGTTGGCCCAGCAGGTTCCACAGGAGCCCAGTGGAGTGTTCTGGAGTTCCTGTTCTTCTCAATGGGATCCATGTGTGCTATGATACACATAATCAAATGCTTTTGTGGAATCAATGAAAGACCATTCTATGATGGGATCTTCTGTGAGAAGTCATGTGGATGTGATAAGAATCAAGAAGAATGCTGCCTTCTTTCTTTCACATTTTTATTTTTATAATCATTTTATTGGGGGCTCTTACACTCTTGTTACAATCCATACATCAATTGTGTCCGACATATTCATACATATAGTCCATTGTTCTTTTCCAGACATTTACTTTCCATTGAATCCTGGGGATCAGCTCCTCTTTTTTTCCCCTCCCTCCTCCCTGCTCCCCCACCTCCCATGGCCCCTTGTTAGAGTGTAGATTGTTAATTATTTTCAAATCTCACATTGACCGCTATCTCCCTTCCCCTCTGGTTTCTGTTGTTCTTCCCCCTGGATAGGGGTGTGTGGTTATGTGTCATTCATTGCAATCGGTGCCTCCCTCCCTCCCCACCTCTCCCCCACTTCCCCCTACCCTTTTGGTATCTCTGTTCCCATTCCTGTTCCTGGGTTCATGTGTTGTGAGCTTTATCTCTTGCTTATACCTATGAACATGCTTCCATCTAGTCCAGAGTGGGAAGCGGCAATGGGGTCATGATAGCGGGGGTGGGGGATGTGGGGGTGTGTGAGGAGGCCTCCAGGGATCAGAGGTATATTGAGTGACCCATTAGGGCTCTACTGCACCCTGATTGACTCATCCCCTCCCTGCGACCCCTCTGTGGGGGGATGTTCCATTGCTCATAGATGGGCTTTGGGTCTCTGCTCCAACCCCCTTCCATTCTCATCAATGCATTTTTGTTTGTTTACTGTTTGTTATGAATCTTCTGATGCCTGTTATCCGCTCCTGATGACACTTCCCTTCATGATCGCCCCAGCTGGGGTGCTTCTTCCATGTGGGCTTGTTGCTTCACTGTTGGATGTTCAACTTCAAGCCTTTAAGACCCCAGACACTATATCTTTTAATAGCTGGGCAACATCCTCTTTTTTCACCACATCTGCTTATGCACCCATTTTGCCTTTAGTGATTGTGTGTGTGTGTGTGTGTGTGTGTGTGTGTGTGGCACAGCAGGGGTTAGCATCACAGAATGCCAGTTTGTTGGAACAAAGTGTTCTTGTATTGAAGGAAGGTATGAGCTGAGGCCCAAGGCCCATCTGCAGCTTCAGTGTATTGCCTTAAAAACATATGTTCATAGGCCAATACCACTATTGTTATAGATGTATTTGCATAAGTGCACAACTCTGTGAATCTCCCTATCCATGCCTTTGCTTCCTGGAGCTTGCCCCTGTTTCCTTTTGCCTCCTTCTGCCCCACCATCCCTTTCCCCCTTCTTCCACCTCAGTGCTTCCTCTCCACCAGCTTGGTGTTGCTGGAATACTCACAGGATCTCTACCCTCTCCTAGATGCTGGTTCCACTTCCCTAGTTGTTCCCTTGTCCATGACGCTGTCTGCTCACCACACCCTTCTCCCCGCCTCCTCCTTCCCCCTCTACCTTCCAGGGCCATTGGCCCCGTTGCCTTCTCCCCAGGCTTCCCTCCCATGGTCCAACCCATATAACTAGGCAACCCATCCATGAAGTGCTGCCTTCTCAATCTGGTCACAACCGAATACAATTCTCTGCTTTCAGCCAAGATCCTTCTGACATCAACAATACTATCTTTCACAACCTCTTCTGAATTTGACTTGAATTTTTGTCAGCTCCCTGTCGGATTATCTTTGACAACATTTTATTTATTTGCATGGGACCACGTGTGACAATTCTTGTACTCAGGTTACCTTTCTTTGAAATGCACATAAACAAGGAGCTTTTCCAGCTGGTTGGGCAGGAGTCTCTCAATTTCCTGGCGTAGATGAGTGCGGCTTTCAGTGCTTATTCAGTTTGGTGAAACCTGTCCATTGGCATCCTGGCCATTTCTGGTGCTTGTTCTTTCTTTGAGGCCTTCAGTGTAGCATAGGCTTCCTTCTTCAGGGCAATGGCTTCTCGATCATATGCTACCTCTGGAAATGGCTGAGTGTCAGCAAGTTCTTTTTGCTTCAGTGACTGTGTACATTCCTTTTATCTTCTTTTGATGCTTCCTGCACCATTTAATATCTTACCCATGGAAACCTGCAGCATTTCACCCCGAGGCTTCAATTCGGTTTCTTCCATTCTTGCAGCTGGAGCTATGCTGAGCATGTTTTCCCTTCCAGGCTTTCCAATGCCAGGTCTTTGCATCATACTTCATGTTACCTTCAGGAGGTGCCCTTTAAACGTTTCTGTTCGGCTCTGCATCATTTCTTCCCTGTGCTTTCCTTACTTGAAAGTTCAAGAGCAAGTCTCCGAGTCTCTTCTGACATCTAGTTTGGTTTTGCTTTCTGTTCTGGCACTTGAATGACCTTTAGCTCTCTTCATGTATGATGTCCCTGATGTCATCCCACAACCTGTCTGGTCTTTGGTCGTTAGTGTTAAGTGATCTGAATCTATCCTTGAGATGATCTGTAAATTCAGGTGGGATATGCAGAAGGTCATATTTTGGCTCTCATGGACTTGTTTTAATTTTCTTTAGCATCAATCTGAGCTTACATAAGAATAACTGATGGTCTGTTCCACCATCAGCCCCTGGCTTCTTTTTGGCTGCTGATATTGAGCTTCTCCACTGTCTCTTCCCGCAGATGTAATCAATTTGATCCATGTCTGTCCCATCTGGAAAGGCCCAGGCAAACTGCTACCCTCTGCCACTGGGTCGATTCTGACTCATAATGATCCTTTATAGGCTTTAAATCCAAGACTTTAAATTCTTTCCGTAGCAGAAGGCCTCCTTTTCCTGCATGCACACCATTGCTTCTGTTGGTGTTGAAGCAGGATATCTGCCACGCACAAGTCTCTGGTCTTGCAAGACTCTGTCGCACACTCTCTGGCTTCATTTTTCTTACCAAGGCCCTATGTTCCAATGACCATTCCTTCCTCTTTGTTTCTGACCATCAGAATCCAATCACCAATAATAATCAATACCTCTTGCTTGCATGTTTGATAAATGTCAAACTGAAGAAGTGGTAGACTTTTTCAGTTTCATCATTGCTAGCTTTACTGGTGGCTATGTCCATTTGAATAATGGTTTTAGTAATGGGACTTCCTTGTAGGCCCGTCCATATTGCCTATCACAGTCAGCATTTTACTTCAAGGTAGAGTTTGAAACACTCTTTTGGACAATGAATGCACATCACTCCTCTTGCATTTGTCATCCCCAGCATAGTACATCCTCTGATCTAGTCAGAGTAGCCATGACTCAGAGTGGCCAACACACCAGTCCATTCCGGCTCACTAATGCCTAGGAGATCAAATTTCATGCCCTCTGTTTCATTTTTGATGACTGAAGTTTCCTGGAGTCACACTTCATACATTCCTAATGGGTGTCTGCAGCTGTTTCTTCTCACTTTGCGTGTTCCATAAGCAAATTAAGGTCCCCAAAGCCTTACTCCATTCTCATCATGAAAGTCAAGTTTACTTTGAGGAGCCAGCAGGAATCTTGAGTGCCGTACAGCCTGAGGGGCTCACTTTTGGACACCGTACCTGCTAAGAGTCTGCTGCTATCCCTGCGGGTCTTCAACGGCTCACCCCTCAGACGTGGACAGCTTATTTCTTCTCTGTAGTCTGTTCTTAGGCTGGAAGCTCCACTGGAACTTGTTCACCCTGGGTCACCTTGCTGGCATTTGAAATACTGGTGACATAGCTTCTCGTGTCACAGCAACACACGAGCTACCACAATACAACAAACTGACAGGTGAGTGGTGGTTAGCCTGGACTAAAAGTGCATTTGCAATTAGCGGGTATAAATTGTTCCGGTGAGTTTCTGAGACTGTAACTTTTCACAAGGGTAGAAAGCCTCATCTGTCTCCCTTGGAAAGGCAGGTGGTTTCAAACTGCTGACCTTGCAGTTAGCAGCCCAGCATGTAACCACTGTGCCACCAGGGCTCCTAGCGTGTAGAAAAGGAGGAGCTAAAAGGTGCCTAAGCTGGGGAGAAGAGGATGAGAAGAAGGCATGAGAACAAGAGAGAAAGACACTCCTAACAGCTGACGTCTGCACCCTGTACCCACCAGGTCCTGCCCTGTAGCTTTGTATGCAGAGATGCACTGAGTCCTCCCCACCACTCTGTGGGGTACTTTCTGATGTTTCCATCTTACAGAGAAGGAAATAAGGCTCGGGGTAGTTGAGTGGAGGACCCAGAGTCACAGCTAAGCAAGGGTGGGGTACCTGTGAGGACAGAGAAGCCAAAATCCACCTCCGGCCTGCTGGCCTGCCTCCTACCGCCTCCCCAACAGCCTGGGAGAAAGCACCAAAGGAAACCCAGATGCTGCTAAACCCACGGGGCTGGGGAATCCCTGGCCCTGCATCCAGGCTTATCATTTGCAACATGGCCTGACTCTGGGAGCTAGTCCTTACCTCTGGCCACACAAGCAGACCAATAGATAGAATCAGAGGCCAGAAGATCAGAAGTGGCTGGAGGTAGAGAACGAGGCTGGATTACCCAGGAGCCGTGCACGGTGCAGAGGCTGCCGTGGTGAAGTGAAGGAGCTGGGAGGAATAATTTGCTTCTTCTAGCCCCCTGGACTTCCTGCCCCTTAATAAACAAGGACCCATAAACAAGGACCGCCTGGGGTCCTGACAGGCCCCAGGAATCCCCACTAAAGCTCTACAGCAGCTGTCTGGCCTGTCTGCCTCCTGGAGGGAGGTGGCGCTGTGAGCTGCACTTCCCCAAGATGAGAGGGTGGTCTGCTTGTCAGCCCTTCCCATAATAGTTCCAGACTCAGTGCCCACCTGCTGACAGCGCCGTACCAGACTTCCCCCAAACCAGTAGATAGAGAGTAGTTCTTCCCAGGGGCTGGGCCCCTTCCCAAGCAGTCAAGATAACCCCGAAGGACACCGCTCACCTTTCCACAGCAATGGCCACCAGGGTGAACACAGACGCCGACACGGACATGCCCTGCACCAGGCCGCTCATCTTGCAGGTGGCATTGTCGAAGGGCCAACCTGCAACGACAGAAGCCACCGCACAGTGAGAGAGATGGCCGACCTCCAAGAGCCAGCACCCTCCAGGCCGTCTAAGCCAGGTCCTCTGTGAGGTTTGGGCCTTCCCCCCTTGTCCTGCTAGTTGGACATCTGCCCTCTGCAGGTCCACTTTCAGCAAAGGGGATGCCTGAGACACCGTCGTCACCACAGACACCTCTGACGACAGAGCACCCTTCTTTACAGGGTCAACACGGCCCCCTTCTGAATTCTCTCTGTGAGCCTTAGATCTATCCAGTTGTCAGCTTTCAGCGTCTAGGTCAAACCCCAAGCTAAAGACATTGCGTTGAGTCAATTCTGACATAGAGCAACCTTATAGGACAGGGTAAGACTGCCTCACGGGTTCCCAGAGGTGCACATCTTTATGGAAGGAGACCGAGAGGGCCTAGAAGCAATGCTGCCTCAGTAACGAGGGGCCTATCTAGTTCCAAGGTCATGCTTTCTAAATGCCATTCTCCAGTGCGAGGAACAGGCTTCCGAGAGAAATAATTGGTTCCCAGCTGAAACAGGGAAAGTAGAAGATGAGCCTGGATCCGTGTGCGGAACTAGAAAGCAAGGAACTACACCCGCCCCCCCCCATCCCAAATTATGGCGACAGGTCAAAAGGACACAGGAAGCAACTCTCAAGGGCTCCCAATACCCCAAGCTGGAGCAATTTTAAGTAGCGAAATAAATCATGATGGCATTAGAGTATAACTCACAGAAGAGAATTCCAATCACTATTGGAGGAATGATGTAAATAGAAAATGATCACTGAGGAAACACTATAGTAATAACGGTTGGCAGCAGCAACCTTTAAAGGATGCCAAAAAATGGTAGGCAAAAAATGATGAGAAAGGATATTTCCTTATTCTCAAAGGATCGCCATCAGAGATGCTTAATAATTATAAAGGGAAAACTCATCAGTAGCTTTAAAGGGCGAAGCTAGCAGTCACTGCTTTGACCAAGCGAACACGCTAATACCACCATTAATCCATGTAGACACTGTGTGTCTTCTCAAGATCTCTTCTGTGGTATCTTGGCTAAAAAATTCATCAACTCCACCCGCTTATGGGAGATCATCAAGTACTCCTCAATCACTGAACATTCTCCAAAATAATTGATCAGTACTCTTCACACATGTCCTTGTGATAAAAGCAAAGGCCAGGGAACTGTCACAGTTCAGGAAACTATGGAAACGAATAGCTAAATATACTCCGGATCATGGGTCCTGCACTAGAAGTTCATAGGAAAGCTGGTGCAATTCAACTGAGGTCTGCTGATTAGTTGATAATACTACATCAGCAATAATTCTCTGGTTTCAATACTTGTAATATGATTATTTAGGCTACTAACATGAGAGGAAGGTGGATAAAGACTACACAGGAACACATTGTCCTATTTTGGTGACTTTCCTGTAAGTCTAAACGTATTTCAAAATGAAAAGTAATAATCCAGCACTCTGAGATGCTGACAAGATCACTGAAGACAAAGCGGGTGCATAAGCAAATGTAGTGAAGAAAGCTGATGGTGCCCGGCTATCAAAAGGTATCGCGTCTGGGGTCTTAAAGGCTTGAAGATAAACAAGCGACCATCTAGCTGAGAAACAACAAAGCCCACATGGAAGAAGCACACCAGCCTGAGTGATCATAAGGTGTCTATGGGATCAGGTATCAGGCATCAAAGACTCAGAACAACAAATCATAATGTGAATGAGGGGGTGTGTGTGGAGTGGAGACCCAAAGCCCATCTGTAGACAATTGGACATCCCTTACAGAAGGGTCGTTGGGAGAAGAAAGGCCAGTCAGGGTGCGGTGTAGCACCGATGAAACATACAGCTTTTCTCTGGTTCTTTAATGCTTCTTCCCCCTCCACTATCAGGATCCCCATTCTACCTTACAAATCGGCTAGACCAGAGCATGTATATGGGTACAGATAAGAGCTGGAAACACAGGGAATCCAGGACAGATAAACTCCTCGGGACCAATATTGGGAGTAGCGATACCAGGAGGGGAAGGGGAAGGTGGAGGGAGAAAGGGGGAACTGATCACAATGACCTACCTATAACCTCCTCCCAAGGGGATGGACAACAGACAAGGGGGTAAAGGGAGACATCGGACAATGCAGGACATGACAAAATAATAATAATTTATAAATTATCAAGGGTTTATGAAGGAGGGAGGGAGGGGGAAAAATGAGGAGCTGATACCAAGGGCTCAAGTAGAAAGAAACTGTTTTGAGAATGATGATGGCAACAAATGTACAAATGTGCTCGACACAATGGATGGATGTATGGATTGTGATAACAGTTGTATGAGCCCCCAATAAAATTATTTTGTAATTACATGAAACACACTTTAAATAAACATAGTTATATAGTCTAATATAAATTAAAATTGCATATCATAAAATGAAAAAAGGAAAACAGGAAGCAGAATCTCTCCATCTTCGAAAGGCTACGTGCTGGGTGGTTCCCTTTCTATGTCAATCTTGCAAATGTAAAACTACAGGGACAGGAAACAGATCGGTGGTGCCTAGGACTGGGGGCACAAAGAGGGCCTGATTACAAAGGGGCCCTGGGGATCTTTTTTGGGTAATGAAATTGTTCTTCATCTTGATGTGTTGCTAGCTGTCTATACATTTGTCAAGCCTTGTGGGGCTGTCCACCAAAAAGGGGGTGATTTTATTGGATGTTAAATCATGCCTTAAAACATTTAGATGTCAAGCATGTACATCCCCTGCACATCTTGTGAAGCTGCGCGACACGGGGGCGCACGTTAAATGGAATAGGATGGTGGCCTCTGAGTCAGCCGGGGAGCCTGAGTGGGATAGCACACTGAACAGGGCCCACGAACAACAAATAAGCAAGAGGTTTTGCACCAGACTGAAGTCAGGTAGTCCACGAGCACTTCAAACCCTCTGTCCAAGTTCAAGAAAAGAAAAAAAGGGGGGAAAGCTCCAACAGGTTTTGTTTTATTGCAAACGATTCTATAGGAAGCAAGCTAACGCTCCATCAAAAAGAGATTGGTTAAATAAAGTATAGTGCATCCATACAATGGAATTTGAAGCACAAAAGAATTTGAATATTTTTTCTTGATGACTATAGAAAACGGCATGATCTATGTTTAAGCGGTGGGCGGAGGAAGCATAGGTGAAGGACGAACGGACTGCTTGGCAAGTCAGCATCTCCATGATGTGCTTGCACTTGGACAGAACACTTTTGGAAAGAGCCACAAGAAACGTGCCCTGTGGCTGTGCCAAGGAGAAGCGCTCACGAGTGGAGATGACACGAGTGCTCTGTTTCACTTCTTTCTTGAAGGAAGTTCTTTTGTTCATTAACTTTGGGTGATTTCGGCCTCTTGAACCCTGTGAGTGGTTTATCTGTGCAAACAATTCTTAAAATACAGAAATGTGAAAAGGACTGAGAATTAGAGACATGGCCATAGCCCTGTCTGGGTGTGCGTGTGCATGTTGGGTTGGAGAAGGATGTTCTCTTTATATTTAGCAGAAAGAAGCTGGGATTCAGCAATGGGAAGAGGTCCTACTAGGCAGAGCCAGTCCAGCTGAGGACGTAGACTCTGCCCCGAGTCCTGGAATCTACGCAAACACAGGCCACAGTACCCACTCCACCCCACCCCTGCCGCGCCCAGTTCCGAGTCAGGAAAACCCACCCGAGTAACACAAAGAAGCAGGCGTCCTTGTTTCATTCGGACAATGCAGGACAAGAGAGAAACAGCAGCAGGCCAGCTGGCCCCGCCCGATGTCTAGTCCCAAGCCCATCGCTAATAGCAGGACAAATCCTCGTTGGGAAAGGTAAACATTCATGGAAGTGGTAAGAAGCCAGAAGGAAGTACTCCGGTCTCTTCCTTGCTAGTTCTATGTGCAGGCCGACCTTGTCCATCTCCTGCTGAAGCTCATGACCACATGGCAAACAGCCAGCTCCTGGACCCTGAGCTGCTGGGAGCGCTCAGCTCACAGGCTGCAGGCGTGGGCCTCTAAGGGTCTCCATAGCCCTGGAAACCAGTCCCTCCCACCCGGAGTCTCAGGGTCTGAGGAGCTCTGGTGCTGGAACATAAAAGGAAAGTCTCCAGGGCTGTCCCCAGGGGTGCGATGGGTCGATGACGAGGAACGCTGTGTCCCGTGGTGGGGCCGGCCCCGTGGTCATCTCCGTGCATCGCTGTTCCGAACAGGCACATTGTCCCCAGGGCTCAGTGAGCCACGATGTGCTCCACTCTTTCCTTTTCTTCCCCATCCCCCCTTATTGGCTCACTTGTACTCCGACCAGACCAGTCCCCCTTCCCCTCTCCCCGAGCTGCAGCTTCAGTGCTGTCCTCTGAAGTGAATTCCCCCTGGAGGAGGGTGCACCCAGAAAGTCACAGGGAGAGAGCCTGCCAACGAAGCCGGGTTGTTCTGATATTTCTAGGTTGTACCGGCAGGGAGTTGGGGTCAGGAGGTCTGATTCTGCTTGAACCTCTGTTAGTTAATCCCTGGGAAGAGGCTGGTCCCTCGCTCCTTGGACAATCACGTGAATGAGCTACAAGGCAGGCTCATTTCTTCCTTTTTCTTTTAAAATCACGTTTTGGGGGGCTCTTATCACAATCCACACATGCATCCATT